GATGTCTCCTGGAGGTGGAGAGCCAGCACGACGACGACGATGTCGGGTTCAGCTGACTCATTTTCCCGCCTCGATTGCAGCTGAATCAACTCTTTCTTCCTTCTTTCTTCCGATAGCCTTCATCTTCTTGTTGGTGTTAGTGAATGCGGAACTCTTTTCGGAGCTATTTTTACGAGTTGCACTATGCCTGCAAACAGGAAAAAGGACAGGTCGGGAGTGAACTACCCGAAACGCCGCAAGAGGAAGCATTCTGGCCAATACAGTAGTACGAAAAAGCGTCGTGCAGCCAGTCCCGAGAGAAACGAACACGTACTTATAGATAGCCAGTTGTACGTACAGGATGATGAACCAGCAACCAAAGAGACATCTCAGGTAATTTTTTCTTCTTCAAATAATTAGTTATTCACCTGCATACATCATCTACGTCATGGGAATAGATCCCTTGCCTGTACTTCCCTTCAACAGCAATGTAATACTCAATGACACATTATGTATGCATTCACAAGCACACGTGCATGCACACACATAATACTGATGTGGAGCTTTGGTAATCAGTACTAATCACACAGATATCGTACCATGTCAAGCATATGTAATTTTTTGGACTGCACACAATTCAGTTGTGTTGGATGAATACAATACCGGTGATAGTAGACTAGTGTATTCTAATTATGATAGTGCATGTTGTACGCGATATGAAGCACAAGAGGAGAAGAAATATGAAAGTCTTCTAATTATAACAATTTGAAGAGTTTTGGTCTGTTGTATAAACAAAATTATTTGCACGATGTTCTTTTGTGCTAGGTTGTGTCTGAAGACCAAACTGAGCATGCGGATGAAGAGGAGATACAAGTGGTGCCACCAATGCCAAGTCCTGTCAAGACAGTTGGCGAATCGACGCAGAACGTGCCTACAGACGATCCATCATGCGCAGCCCGGAAAACGACTTGCAGTGATGAGAAGAATGAGTCATTGGAGAAACGACTGGCTGCACTGGAGAAGAAATGTGAGATGCACGAGCTCCGAATTCAGCAGCAGCAACTGGAAATCCGGGGTCTGCGAATTTCGCAAGTAAAACAGAAGAGTAAAAGACAGCAACCACCAACGTCAACAGGGGAGCCATGCATAATTTCTGCCAAGACACAAGGCAGTAACGCCCATTGCCCGCGTTTCATGGCACAGATGCGGTTTCTCAAGATTGCATGCATATTGTCAAACCAGAAGGCAGCATTGGCAATACATCTAAGCCACCATGTACTGACTGGCCAAGCTCCCTGTAGCCATCTCGGCACAACATGTTCCCCATCGTCACTGGCCAAATGGAACTTGCTTCTAGGAGAGGTTGACAAGGCTATCCTCCGCGACACCCTCTCCTCAACGCCATACGACATAGCTGTGTTCGCCGATGACTCGAACAAAAAAGGAGAAGACAGGCATATGGTGGGGGTACACACCTGGTCAGCAAAACGAAATTGCCCCGCAGGCTATCTATTAGCGGACACACTCGTTGCAAGTGGACGAGGAGCAGACCAGGCAAAGGCAGACCATCACATCCTGAAGAATGTTTATGGAATCAGAACAGTGTGTGGAGTGGTGGGAGACAATGCATCTACCCAGTCCGGAGACAAGAAGGGGCATGCCGTCGCACTGGGTGCCCTATTCAAGAATAAAACCCATTTCATAGGCTGCTACCCGCACGTGTTGAACATTGCGTTGAAAACGGCAATGGTCGACGGATTCGGCCATCGAGGACCAATGGCAAGTTTCAACATGTGCCAAATGCAGTACAAAATCGCGTATCTGCATCACCAGAAGCCTACGTACTACAAATCGTTATACGTTTCACTCAAGATCCTCGCAAAGCCACCTCCCTTGCCCCAAGAGTTCATCGACACCCGCTGGTCATATATACATGAAAATTTGAAATGGTTTCAAAAGTACGGCACGGCATGCATCCAGCTGGGCAAATGTATGCTCGAGTATCTTCCCAAGAAGGAAACGCACTACGTCATTTGGGAAGAAGTGGTGAGAATGTCAGCCAATCCCATCATCGCTACAGAACGTGTTACATTACTGGAGATACTGGACAGGCTGATTATGCCATCTCTTCGGGCCAGCCAGCTCCCCGACACAGAACTCGGCTTTTCAAGCGGCTACTTAGCGCGGAAATGGCCAGTTCAGGTATTACGGGACATACAGTTAGCTATCCTAATGGATGTAGAGCCAGATTTCGCAATGCCACTGACAGCTCGTGCTATGAGCTCTAATCTAACAGCAGAAAGAGCAGAGCACTACCAGAACAATGTCGTCAAGCCACTTACCAGTGCCATTGTAACTGTCTTGCAGAAGCATGGCGTGCGTTGGTTCAAGTTTCCGTTGGCATTCGGCATGGGGGCGGACTCCAAGTGCCGTCATCATTTCTGGCGAGCGTATGGACGCGTGACAGGCTCCAGCGCAGCATTCCCCTGTCCGGCGGAGTTTCCCTCAATCCTGGCGTCCCCGTTGAAGGAGCAGCTCTGGGCCGAGCTGATCAGTGCAGCCACCACCATCAAGTGTCCGTTCACACTTGCCAAAATATGTTACCAGAACGGGTTGCTTCAGCGCCAACAACATCTCTTGCTGCATCCGAGCACGCACTGGTTTCATGAGCTGGAAATCTTGGCAATCGTGGCTGCAGATAGACCGGGCCTCCAGCAATGGGCAGAAAGGTGGCCAATACCAGATGAAATGCTGGCAGAGGTTGAGCTGATAGCGCAACACACTAGCCCATCAGTGCCCAAAGAGAACACGGAGCCACATGCGTGGAAGTGGTTCGCGACACATGTGTTTGCTCTACCAGTGAACAACGTGATGGCAGAGCGGCAGTTCAACCTGGCAGGAATCCACCTCACGAACTCTGATTCCGAGATGACGAAACAGGCAACACACCTGTTCGTGGAAAACGTCATCCACAGCAATGACGCCACAGCCGGTTCATCAGGCAAAAGGACAAGGATGACAGGTAAGAAAATGATCCAACAGCACACGTATCTTGCACGGTAGAGACGCGCTTATCACCATTACAAATGTGAAGTATTCGACCTGGCAGCGATTTGGTCATATGCATACGGATGATGTGTCGAAGATTGTTTACAATGATTCAATCCTGAGACAAGTTGTATACTACGCAGCACACTCTGTTCACCAACATGCGTACGTACATAGAAGCCAGCAATGGTGCCCAGCCTGGCCCAGGGTGACTTGAACAGACTGCTTACAATAGCTATCTTCACACGCGTGTGATTTTCTGCTGGTCATTCTCTTTGTGTTTACTGGTAGGTGCTACAACACAACAGCTGGCCACAGCAATGCAGGATTACGCGTCCACCATTACTCCAGAGCGGCTGAAGAAAGCCAAGAAGCAGCTGAAACTACTGAGGCAGGGCACATCTCAGGCCAGGTCGTTGACTGCCTCAGAGACGTACCAGGACGTGCTGAAGCGCCACCGCGCGAGAGCTGATCATGACAAAACTCTTGCTCGGCTGGAAAGGGAGGGTAGGAGCCACGGTGTGCAGCACAATCCAGGCACCCGTGCATCCACCCAAGACAGGGCCAACACAAGGTCGTTCAGTCCAGTACGTGAGGCAGGTGCAGTCGAGCCAGGTACATCGGGGTGAGAACGTCCATGGCTACGAAAAAGTCCAGTGCAGCCATTCCTTCATCGATTTGGACAAACTATGGCTTATTTTTTTTATTGTGGACTTGTCTTCCTTTCTATCGAGACGATTCATAGATTTCTATTTTTCTTCTCCCCGTAAATTCTCTTCGAAGCGAAGAGAAATCTTGAGAAACTACTCCGAAATCGTATCTTGCTCCGTGATTTGGGTATTGTTGGCCTTTCTCAAAAATTCTTTCGATAGAAGTCTGCGGAATAGGGGAAGGATCCAGCATGTCAAATTTCAGGCTGATCAGAAAAACAGTCGCTGCCCTGGAATCAAATACACATTACAGTCGTTTTTTCAAAATTTTAAAAATTCACGTACCGTGATTGGTCCGTACGGTACGGTTTTCACGTGTTTGGCACGTGCGAAATTCAAAATGGCCGCGAGATGGTTGTACAGAAGTGTGACCCCTAAAATTTGGCAGAGACAATTCCAAATAGGCAACTACTCTACGGACACAGTGTAGCTAGATTCTACTACCCAGCTAGCAGATATCCTAACAAGACACTAGACAGCAGCCAGTATGCACAAAACACGGACACAGAAAATGTTCCGAAAATGTTTGGCCAGACAGGTTGGCGCCAATGCTTGACCTATGGACTGTAAACCATGGTAAACAATGCATGCAACAAGAAAACGACGAGCAGAAAGAAACACAATGCAGAAAGGAAAATATTGACGAAGAGAGTGGATGAGGATATGGTTTCACTTGCGTGGGCCTTCGTGGTTCTTCATAGTCGGCGATCTCCGAAGGCGTACATACTTCGCCAGCGATGTAGTGGTGGACGTTTTCCGCTGCCACCAGTGTTAGCTGCTCCCGGCCAATGATGCCCCCTCACACCGGAACACAGGGGTTTTATATGATTGGATAATTTATAGAAGTATTCGAGAAGAGTGTAGACAAGGAGAACAGGACAACGACAACTCAAGACAAGACTACAACAGAACTGGAGCATGCGCTCTTCTATGTGAGTGCTCATTGCCAAGGGGAACGAGCGGGAAATACAAATAGTGAGTATTCAGGTCGTAGCATACATACACCTATTACAGTTGCGGTTGAGACTCTGCTGGAAGCTGAGTTTTCCGCATGCGCGGGAATGCCACCACCCTCTTGGATCAAGGCGCGGATGTGCATATGTGGCCTGGCACGAGGGAAACATGGATGCAGTGAATGGGATTTTCGGTCTTTGACCACATTGTGGTGGGTCTGATCTACTCACCTCCCACCGCTTACCTGATCAAGAGCCTACTATCATAGAGGGTGATTACACGTGTGTATGTGTGCATGTGCCTGTCCAGGTTGGCAAGCTTCTAATGGACAAGTATGCGTCATCCATGGACGACTACGCTGAGGATGAGCAAGAAGAACCCAACAGGCAACAATCCACGGCACCCTCGGCGCGTATACCAATGTTCAACGAACGGCTCAGCATGCGTGCAAGCCTGCCTGGTAAGTTGCCGTGATTGTAATCTATGTGTATGTCTGGGTCTTTTCAATGGTGTCAGGCGATTTGAGTTCTGTTGCCATGTATGGAAGAAAAACTACTGTCACGAACGTTGAAATCTGATGGGATGACCGGGGTCGGCGCCCTTACTGCTTTTAGCACGTACATGCCCTGTAGTTCACGTATGCACTGTAAAAACAATGGACAAGCAGTGCCCGGGGCTGCACGGCCAGCTCTCCGTGGCCGCTCGACTTCTCAAAAGATTTCAATGTCCGCTACAGTACATACATATGGAGGATAACCCCCCCCCCCCTCGGGATTAGATTGTTCAGTTTTATGCTTAGCACAAGCTTCAGGAAATCAGTGGTGCAATCGTCGCATCAGGCAAGCAATCGATCATCGCTTGCTTGAAGGTTGAAACCTGGAGTGGTAACTGTGAACCAACTTCGGCTGGTTTGTCTTCCGTGTGTGTAGTATCATCGCCCAGCTTGTAAACACAGCTCCAGTAGCTATTGCTACTGTTCCGTGAATGTGTGATTTAGTTCCAAAAGGGATATTGGATCGTACTGCATCCTGCATTCCAGAAGGACAACGACTAAATGCATCATATCATGACAGTTGTCTAAGCTCCTCAGGCTGCGTACAGTGGAGAGAGCCAGTAATACAATGCTCACACAGCAATGATGCAATCAAATCCTTTTCCGACGGCGGAAAAGGACTTGGTTGCGTCATTGCCATGTGATCAATGCATCCTATCATGCAGATAGTTCTCGACTACCTAAAGCTCAGGCTGTGCAAGAGATCCATACGGCCATGATAGACGGTTAAGTGGAGCGTTGCTATACCAAAATAATGCTACAGCAACCACCCGGGAGACAAGACAGCAATTATTGATGGAAACACAACCAACGGATACCGATTCGTTCCGTTTCGACAAAAACGTTTTTTTCTGTCAAAACTGTGCCGTGTATAATTGTGGTGTTTTGGTAACATTAAAATGTATAGAAGAAAGAAAGGACCAAGGAACTACAAGTTACGCTATAATGTCTACTAACACCACCACTTACTAAACAATCAATTAAAATTCTGAGCCAAAATACCTATTCTTTTTTGATCTTCTTGATCAGGTAATTGGACATACATCCGAATTACCGGCCCTCCGAGAATGGATCTGGGAAGACAGGACAAGTCAATGGTGAGAAAGAGCTGAGTGGTGCACACGATGAGTGGGAGCTATCATACATGTTGCTCTTTCTCGCGTTCTCTTTCTCGCTTGCTCTCTTTTTTCTCTGTGTGTGTGTGTCTCTCTCTCTCTTGTCTTTCTCTCTCTCTCTCTCTCTCCCTCTCCCTCTCCTCCTCCCTCTCCCTCTCCATCTTCCTCTCCCATTCGTACACCAGCACATCTTCTCCAGGCGTCAGGGGCCCAGCCTCCCCGCCCATCCGACTCACCACACACAACTTCGCAACTGAACTAAAGGTTCAACATAATTTCTTGACAAGACGAGCAGAAGACCGGACACGACGAGGCAAAACTGATAACTGAAGAAAAGGACAAACATTGCGGCAGCATATATGAGCATGCGCGCGCGCACGCGAAATAATGTTGCACGCGCGACAATGACGTAAGCGTTCCATGGTGTATACATGTACAGAAGACTGCACATGCAGCCAAAACAATGCAACAAAGTCAAGACTAAACCACTACAAAATAAAACTAAAGAACACCATAAATAAGCCATGAAAAGTCTTTCACTCGAGACCCGTTGCGCAACACTCCCTCTCCCTCTCCTCATTTGTTAGACTTACACGTCTTTACAAATGTAACTCTCTCTCTCTTTCTGTCTCTCTCTCTCTCTCTCTCTCTCTCTCTCTCTCTCTCTCTCTCTCTCTCTCTCTCTCTCTCTCTCTCTGTGTGTGTCTCTGTCTCTCTCTGTCTCTGTCTCTCTGTCTCATTCTCTCTCACACACTCTCTCTCTGTCTTATTCTCTCTCACACACTCTCTCTCTGTGTCTTATTCTCTCTCTCTCACACACTCTCTCAGTCTCTCTCACTCACTCTCTCACTCTCCCCATTTTTTTCTCTTTGTGTGTGTGTGTGTGTGTGTGTGTGTGTGTGTGTGTGTGTGTGCGTGTGTGTGTGTTTGTTGCTTTCTTGCTCTCTTCTGCTGCTCTCACTGCACCCAGGACGAAGTCATTAACTCTTTCACTGAACAAGACGGTGGATTGCAACTGAAGTTTGTCCGAGGCCGTGTCGATACTATCACAGTGTTCTCACGCATAGAGGTATAGACACACAGCGTCTGCATGACTGAACATGTACATTATCTGACTTTTTTTCTTTCGGTGATAGTCGCCGTATTGAAGGAGAAGAAATTAATGGAAAAGGCGTAATGATAGTCTGCTCTCCATCCAGCTGCGTAATGGATGGAGTCGCAATCTGCGGATTGCTTCCGGTACAAAGATCCTGGTTGTTATGCCTATCAAAACGACGTGAGATAACTTGTATGCACTTGCTGTTACAAGGCAAAAGAGTTGATGGATGCCATGTTACCGTCACCCGAATGTTCCTACTGGCTCACCCTGGTCTCTTGCACTGTTTGCGTATTGCAGAAGAATATCGAAACCGACAACATCACCTCCTTGTGGGGTTACCATAGCAACATGATGAAGCACATGATCGAGCAGCAGCGCGAGGAAGAGATCAAGGACGTGTTCGAGTAAGGATTGTCGGGCATGTGTGTGTGTGTGTGTGTGTGTGTGTGTGTGCGCGTGTGTGTGTGTGTGTGTGTGTGTGTGTGTATATATAGTGTCCATTTTTTGACAATGGTTTTGGGGGGGGGGCTAGAAGATCGACGTTGTTTCCATCATGCATGGGGAAGTTTGTATCAGAATGTGATCAAGCTCTCCCTCAGCTCTCCCTCAGCTCTCCCTCTATTGACCATTGAGCAGCACCGTAGTGTCCCGCTAGTGCTGGTTCTTTGCTACGGTCGAGTGCTATTGATTTTTGTATCGTGCTAGCATATGTGTGTGTTGTTTCTCGTTTCCTTTCTTCAGGTTACTGCGTCGCGAGTTCATGATTATCTACTACCATGATCGATTCTCCGACTTGCAAGGACTCATTCACTCTGTTCTGGAGCAGCCCCGGGTAAGTAGTGGTGTCAAGTGTATGTATGTATGTATTTCTTCTTGTTACTTCGCAAAGTCAAACAGGATCGTTGCCCAATAATATGATAGCGAAGGGTGTGGGGGGGGGGGGGGTGACATTACATAATAATTATCTGTCGTAATCAAATGTGTCAGCACTCAGTAGGGAGGGATAAAAGAGCAGAAGAACGGCAGAACAGCAGAAGGCTAAAAGTAGGCAAGGTGTATCACCGTTGTGTAAGTATGTACTCTACTTGAATAAGGACATACGATGAAAGCACTAGTGGCAACAGTTATCACAGTATGGGTGGCGTGACACTACTAGTAGTATCACGGTGTAGTCGACCAGGCATTAGGCAGGAATGCGTTATAGTCACACATCGCAGCAATACGGCAGGCAATTCAGTTTCAACTTAGGGAGCCACGAGATGGTCCGCACATCTTCCGGTAGAAGTGCACTGTAGTGAAACTTCCCACTTATCTACAACGTGAAGTTACTCAATCTGCGCACAGAACTGTTTCGTCCTTTGTGAACTCATCAGCGCAGTATGTGAAGCTACTTATCTTCTACAATGCTGGAAAGTGAAGTCCACTATCAAGAATGCCCTCCTTATCTAGGGTCATATCCCTCCTTGTCCATGGTCATATCCCCCCCCCCCCCCTTATCAGGGCTGTACCCCTTTTCCGAAGCATGCACCCCTTATCGAGAGTCATATCTCCATATCCATTGCAATATCCCCTTAACAGAGCCAAATCCCCATATCCAGCCAGGGGTGTTCCCCTTATCCGTGGCCATGTCCCCGTATCCAGAGTCATATCTCCATTATCCAGGGCAATATCCCTTAAATCCAGCCAGGGTTGTTCCCCATATCCGTGGCCATATCCCCATATCTAGGACCAGGTCCCCTTACCGAGGGCAATATTACACCCATCCAGGGATATGTCCCATTGTCCTTTGGTATTTCCCCTATCCGGATTCACATCACATCATGCCGGTCAGGCGATGTCTAAATCAGTGGAGTAATGTTACAATTTGTATCCGTGCGTTGTTGCTTGCAGGATGGCGGCAATCAGGATTCGTTGATGGAAGTTGCTGCCAAGATGATGCAAGTCACACGTGGTCCGGTACGTGCACACAATACTAACACACCACTGAGCCACAACATACAATGTAATAGTGATAGCAACTTTGGCAATAGCCTGAGAGTTAGTCTGTTAGTCAGTCGAGTCAATGAAGTTGAAGACACCTCTGCAGCTGTACTTGGTTAATATGGTGGTAAAGACACACCTAGCAATATGGCGGTAAACACACGCCTGCCCACACACGCTCTCTAAGCTGCAAAGTTCTGGCACAGAGCTCTCCTTCCCACCACCACCACCTTTGCAGCTTTGCAACTTAGAGAGCGTGTGTGGGCAGGCGTGTGTTTACCGCCATATTGCCAGGTGTGTCTTTACCACCATATTTATCAACCAGTCAGTCGAGTCGGTGGGGGAAAAAGCGCAAGCTCCAGCAACGAACTATCTTCCATGTTTTCATTGTATTAATGACAGGAGATGCGCGTGAAAAGTCACACATCATTGAAGAAAGCCTCTGATTGGCTGAGAATGTGGAACAATCACTCCAAGATATGCTATAAGAGTAATTGATCCTGGAGGGGATGGTGGTCGGGGTTTGGGATGGAACATTCTGTTTTTCTCAGTTTTTGTTTTTTCTCAGGCTACTCTCCCACTTACCCCTTGTACCTGATTTACTACCCCACCCCAACCGGGCTACTCCCACCTCCACTGGGCTACCCCACCCCAACCGGGCTACTCCCTCCCACCTCCACTGGGCTACCCCCACCCCAACCGGGCTACTCCCTCCCACCTCCACTGGGCTACCCCACCCCAACCGGGCTACTCCCTCCCACCTCCACTGGGCTACCCCCACCCCAACCGGGCTACTCCTTCCCACCTCCACTGGGCTACCCCCACCCCAACCGGGCTACTCCCTCCCACCTCCACTGGGCTCCACTGGGCTACCCCCACCCCAACCGGGCTACTCCCTCCCACCTCCACTGGGCTATCCCCACCCTAACCGGGCTACCCCCACCCTAACTGGGCTTCCCCCAACCCTACCGGGCTACCCACACCTTCCGATTTCATTAGTGCCGCCCTGCAACCGTTCTGCTCGGCAGGATCTTTTAACCCCCAGTTGCCCTTTTTCCGTCTTCTAATCATCCAATGTTGCTTGCTTTTTTTTTCCCCGCACTGCACACAGCTGGACAGTGCGGATACACGGGAGCTGAAGCGGCAATACCAACAGAGCGGCATAATCAACGAAGTACACCGCCTGATCGTAGAGTTCATCACTCGCAATCACTACCACCTGCCCATGTATGCACTGCCAAACATACTGATCACATGATACCCATGCTGCCCCTAATATGGTGGAAGATGCACACTGTCCACCTTGCAGCCGTGTTGACCCGAATATGCTGCTTACTGCTTAAAAGAAAATTATCGTACACACTACTTACCTGGCAGCCATATTAGCTCTAGCTTTGTATCTTCTGCTCTGTATAATTATATCTGACTATGCTTTACAGAATGAATGCTGACTATAGGTTGAATGTTATTTTGAACACCTGTTTTGACAGAATCTGATTTCTTTTTCTAATTCTTATGAATTTTCTGTTCAAAATCGATCAATTTCCTGTATTGACAAAAATCTGATTGCCGACTTGTTGCTTTTCGTTTGCTTTCTATCTGATGATCGGAAATGTCTCCATGTTATATTTTATTGTTGTTGTTTCTTTGTTTTCTTATTATGTTGAGTTTGGGATGGTGTCAGTGTTTTTAAGCTGTGGAATAGTTGAAGTAGTGGACGGCGTACATCATTAAATCCTACACTCCTTTGGTCGTAAGGAGCGTACACTCCTTTGGTCGTAAGGAGCGCAAATGGAAAATGGGGTTTATCTGTTTCTAAAGGAGACTAGTGTTCTGGTGATCGTGGTGAAATGATTGAAGAATGCTGCTGCCAGTGCTCATCCGTAGGTTTCGATTTTCCCATTGCTTGCCGTTGGAGTCACCCTATGTAAATAGTTAGAAACACATAATTATTATACTGCCGGAGAAGAAGTCGACACAGCGTCAGGACAGTCATAATTTACTTCATTAGACTGTTTGCACACATGTACAACCTGTTGTCAAGCAAGTGCGAATTATGTTCGCTAATCCTCTTCAAAAAAAGAATTTCGTCACCAATTTGGGACTTTCATTGGAGTACCAACACGAACGCAGAATTTGTATTTCTAATCCTCCGTAGCCCTTGGCGGATAATCCTCCGTAATGCCAATCCTCCATAATAATGCCGGCGTTATGCCAACCCTCCGTAATGCCTGCGTCATACCAATCCTCCATAATGTCCGTAGCACGGGAGTATTGATCCGTACTGAAAAGAGTTATGACAATAAGTACTCATATCTCTCTTATCCGGACCTCCGAGTTACGGGCCCCTCGGTCTACCGGTCTACCGGGCACCCTGAGGGTGAGTTTTAGTGAAAATGTTACTACTCCCTTGCCACTGTTGGTGGAAAAAGTGACATATGCCAGATCTCTAGCCCTTCCCAACAAAACGTGCGTACTTCAGAGTTATGCATGTTTCCAAGTTATGGGGAGCCCCGGTTCCGGACTGCCTGGTCTGGATAGAAGAGATTGTGATTGTACCTCGGATAGTCTAAGTACACCTGCCTGCTGTCCATGAGAGTACATTAGTATTCTGATCAGAGTTCTACTGCAATTCCCTGCTGCTACTCATAGGGCAGTTCTATGGAGCAAACTTTACTCATCTTCAAATTTCTTTTCACAAGAGGTACACAAAAGGAAGCAAAATAGGGCTTTTCGTTGTTAATCAGAGTTTCATGGCAAAAACCAATCACCAGACAACGAATTTCTTTTCACAAATTTTCATTAGTTTGAAGGCGGGGGAAGGGGAGACCCCTCAAAAATAGTCTCATGGTCACAGCTTCTCCAAACATTATCAGTCACCATCCAACCTTGAACAAGAGACCTTCACTATAAGCCAGCAAATCTCTACCACTAAGTAGTAGGTGGTCACCATGCTAGCCATGACTATCAGTCAATCAGCTGTGTGGTGGATACCAGGCTAAAATTATTAGTGGCGGTCAATTCATCAGCCTTGCAAGCTGTTGAATGGTGTAATCCCAGGACAAGTTGCTATGTCTAACACAGCTGTTCGCTATCATCGCTTCCGCGATGGGCAGGTCTGGGGTCCAAGGTCTGAGCCATCACTATAAATTTCTGTCATAATCTGGGCAGCATTAATTGTTATCCAATACAAAACACCAGCATTAGTCTCCTCCCTGTACGACATGTGTGGCAAGACACAGTGAATGGTGAATGTTTACAATTATACCGCATCAATGAGGATGCAGGTGCAGAAGACATCGAGCAAAGACTCACCTGCAGAGGCCACGAGAACCATCTCCTGGCTCTTGCTGCCGCCCCCCATGTTTGATCAGCAAGGTCTTGTGGTCTATTGATAATCCAGGCCCCGGCTCACTGATGAGTCAGTTGGGAGCTGTGCTTGGTAACCAACCAGAGATGACATCACCAGACATACCAACTGTGAAATGTTGCAGAACGCTCAACCAAATCCGTGGGACTTTCCCCAATGCAGGCTATCACACTTTCTTTGATTGTTGGTGTTGATAAACACCAGTGAAAGCCTTCGCATAGCCAACCCAACGTCCAAATGTCGGAGAACGATGGGATTGATTCCAGGATAATATTGGTGGGATACTGCGCACACATTCAAACATCAATGTCAAGGAAACAGCATGGAGCTTGCACTTCATCATTGTTTTCAATGCCATATTCATAGTATGAATGGTCCAATACTCTTTTCATTCCACTTTTTGCATGGGTAGTCACACTAGTCAACCTCTCCCGAGCATCCAGTGGGCGCGCACGTGCACGCAGGGAAGGGGGTTGAAATACGCAGGGTTTTCGCAGTCAGGTACTGACTGCCACTGACTACGGGCCAGGCTGTCCATAAACGCGGGTTCAACAACTCTTCATTATCAACCCATTGTACCCATTGCTTTGTTGCCCTCATCCAATTGACCAGTGCTAATCTTTTCTTCCTTTTCGGTCTTAATAATAACGCCATCGTGATATTAAAGTATTCAAAACGACCTCGGGTGTAGCCATTATTATTATTATTATACGCATTCCCGCGGCAGCGTCAACCAAGCAGTCATGCTTGATCCACACGTTCGCTTATGCTGGACATTGAAACAAAGCAGATGTAGACAGCTCCTAATCCTAGCCAGTCGTCATGTCCAATAAATACAGAACTCTCCCGCTCCAAAGGGTGTAGCCGTGACTTATGAATACCGACACAATGACCATTAATTTTGACTGCATACCGGCAACCTCACGAATAACGACAGCTCGCGCATAGCGACACTTTTCTCATTACTTTTACGATCGAGGGTCGTTCGCAAAGTTGTCTGTACTCACGTGCTTTGTCATGTTCCCTGGTATTGAACGTCTGTACCCAACTGGTGCTGCACCAGGCTTTCACGTCTTTCCGCTGGGCTCTGGTTGTGGATGGTGGCTGAAACCGCCCACAGGCTTGTCCGCCAGTCTCGCGTAAACTCTTTTCTTCGACCCTCAGCTAGCTGACTGGGCTGGATACGGATAGCCACCAGGGGTTCGACTGGCGAGGGCCGAACATTCGCCAAGAGTATAATGAAGGACTGACGTGCTGTTACGTACATACCGGCGGACGACAAGCGACAAAGTGTAGCTGACGAAGGACAGCACCGTCATTGACAATGTCCTTGGATAACGAAGAAACAGTATTGTCTTTTCATCAGGTGGTAGTGACGGTGAGTATTTCCGCCTTCGGGTCGCGGAACGTGTTCGACCATCTGTACATGAAACCGCCTAGTCTTCGTTCCGCGAGGCGAGTCGTATCTCGGAGACACTGTACGATTGCTCAGCAAGTCGTCCTTCATTCGTTTTGCAACCGGTTTGCTCAAACGGCGAGCATAGTCCATTCTGAGACATTCGTCCATGCAACAACTGAGAGACAATCCGCGGAGCGGGAAGTCAACGAAACGAACGTTTCCGACTTGTTCCTTGTCCACTTTGGCCGGAGGAAACGGTAAGGCCAGTGGGACTGCTGGGTGCTTGCAAAATCGAATGAGTCTTCTTTGTACGCTGGCTCAATTATATTGCACTGGCTAATGATGTCGCACGCACTACAACTGCACATCTCGGCTTGGCAAGAAATGAAAAACATTGCTCGAGTGCAAGTTAGTTGAAAATGAGACGGACGCCGTTGTCGACTCGACACTACATTCGACTTAGTCCTTGCGTTGATTGACAGTGCGGAATATGCAAAGGGTGCGTTAGCTTCCTGGGCGTTGTTTTAGGGTGCGATGGCGCTTCTCACCCAGACCAAAATCACAACTACATCATGGAGGGTCTGTATATTATATAGGAGGAAGTGGAAGTGAAATCCTGTGCCTACAACCAAGTAGGGACTTTTACGACTCCCTGTAACCAGGTAACTGGTGAGACCTGTCTCAGCACGTCGCCTTCGTTCACACCTCTTCCTGGTAGACAGCCATAGACATATTATGCCAAGTACAATGTCATGCACATGTAGATCTACTACTTGTACTAGTACATCAGATCGCGTCAGTCAAGTAATTAGTTAGTTTGCGCCTCGCACCATTTCGCAGCCCAGTGTTCACAGGCTTAGGGCTGAGCAATGCCCGGCGCGTACTTGAGTGACTCCATCGGAGTACATGTTCTGTACATGATTTTGATAAGCCCGCACCGGAGCAGGGTGTCTAGACCGTTCAAGTCTGGGTAGGCATGGGCGGGTAATGCTAGCCTTATGGCTGGCATTATAGTCCCTTTTTTCCAGGTGGCATAATGCTGGCATTATAACACCATTTCGCATGCAAAATTGGCATTACAAGCATAATTGCCGGTCGACTATGGTGTCATGCATGAAGCTGGCTCGGTCCAGTTCCGAAAATCGTGCATCTGAACCCGTCCAGCTTTTTTCCAACTTTCAAACTGGCATTATGGAGTAGTGTGAGCATTATAAGTAGCATTATATCCTCTTATCACTCCCTTAGTATTGACTCACATAGATTTTTGCCATACCTAAGCAGTCAAATATTCCTGCATATTTCACTCCTTAGGGCTATATTGACTGCTTATATTTGACTGCTTAGGCCCCGGTCACACCAAAACAAGCCACTTTGGGCTTGTTATCGCTGGCGCTCAGCTGGCTTGCGTGATCCCTGTGACGCGGTCACACCAGACCTTGACTGCAAAGCTTGAATGGCTTGTTTTTCTTACCCGCCAAATTTTGAATATCTCGAAACACACCAATGTTTGCAAGAAACTGGAGAGCAGAACGTTCGCGATCTAAAACTATACTTGTTCTAGTGTTCAGTTTTGATGAAGAAGCAAAGGAAGCCCGGATTCTGAATTGCGAAGTCGTGCTCTTTTTATTTGTTCGGTGTGCATGGACGCGATGGTTCAGGTGGTGTTTCCTGATGTCGAGCTTTCTGCCCCGCCGGTTGCCGTTATTGAACTCGGTTGCAATCCACTCTCTTCTTCGTACCCGGCTTTCTTCATGAATTCGGTCGTGAGTGTGGTGCCTTGTCTTGGCCTCAAACCACAGCTCCAACAATCTACGCAGCAGTCTAGAGGCACAGCGGCAGAAATCCATGGTCGTCGGACAAAATCCAAATCAAACTGAATACAGTGTAGTTGGGGTAGACAGACTCACGGTCAAAACCAAAGGCACAGGGATAGCACGGTTCCACGGACACAAGAAAGAACATCAATATCAGTTCATCATGACAACTAGCTACATGGTGTGCTCCGGAGCTCCAAGCGCACTCAAATAATTTTTTGAATTTCGGCTTTCAGCCGCTTGTACAAGCTGTGGCTGAAACAAGCCGGAAAAAAAACAGCTGAGAGTCTAGTCAGCCACGGCTGAAAGTCGCTTGTAGGACATTTTTCAGCCATTTCCATGGTAATAGTGACGTAAACAAGCGCTTGTTTCGGCTGAACGGCTGAATCGAGCTCGGTGTGACCGCGGCCTTAGGGGTTGCGCAGTTGAACGGTGCCTAGTGCAGCATTGTCACTGCATGAGTAGGTGGTGGTGCAACGGTTGTGCAATCATAAAACCGGGATTCATGAGGTTATCGTTCTGGAATTTGAAATACGGACTGTTTGTCGTGATAAATCTAATTATTGACTTCGTACTTGGTCAGTATAGGAAATAAAAACCTCGTAAAAGACCTCGGCTTCGCCTCGGTCTTTTACTCGGCTTTTATTTCCTATATTGACCTCGTACTCAGTCAATATTAGATACATATTATGAGCATTGCCTTTAGCATTATCGCAGCAAATAACTAGCATTACCCGCCCATGCCTAAGTCTTGGCTACCTTAGGCCTTAGGCCACCAAGTGCGGGAGTGTCACCTGCCGGAGACGGTCCAGACTCCAGGCTTCGCCCAGTAAGCTGTCATCAGATTTCGCATGCCCAGCTCCCAGGGCGAGACAACTCACCTGGTACATTGGCCTAGCGGGATTTTTAGGTTTACACAAGTGACGACCGTAGAGGCTGAGTTGATTTTGAGGAATCTAATGGGAGGCTGTATGATTGGGCATTCGAGAGGTGATAGAGGTAAACGTGAGGTCGTTGAATGGCGGTAAACACTTTTCAGTTGCAGGTTTTCACTCAGCGATCCAGGTATCACTAGATCATACTGGTGTTGAACAACTATGGAGACAACCTTCGCTCCTCTCTACATTTTGAAAATTTATAATTGTTCATTGGCTCTCCATCCGAATCAAATCAAATCTCAACAACCTTTCACTTCTTACCCTGACCGGAACCCCTTAAAGCCATGAGTGTCTTGGTCATGGAAACAAGAGGGCTTTCAAAGGTTCCATTGACTCGATCTGAGGATCCAGTTTACAAGGTAGCAGTGCTGCTGTTGCCACAGAGCAAACCATGCAGATTTGCGCCATGATGCAGCCAAATACACTTTGCTTTTTTCTTTCTTTTTTTTTTACAATGCAGCTCAATATTGTGGAAAGGTCACAACAATAAGAGACAAGATCAAAAGGAAAGCTTTACAATGATAAAAACGTAGTCTGTAAAATGTAAAGAGTCACTGAGTGCAGTTATGAGTACAGTTATCCAATATCTCTTTGCTTTGTGGGTATATTAACCAATACTGATCCAGATTTGCTCATCACTGTTTTCTGATGATCGCTAATAGTGCGTGAAACTCAGCGTTAAAACACTTTTTCCGTCCTCTTATTGTTTGAACTAGCTCTGCCTCTCGGTATTGAGCACTCTCTTGGACAGCCTGGAGCCTCTCTGTTTTGAGCAGACCATGTAACAAGTTCCGAACTCAATAGCTTCTACAGACTAAAGTTACTGGCTTTATACTTTAGGGAGGTGTCCGATATGTGCATAGCGTCATCACAATTCACATACTAAACATCACATGAACAATGGAGTTGGAGCCAGTACTCCATCGGCTGAGTACCTGTGAATGCTGTGATGTCCTTTAACCATGCTACTCAGCACACGCGACGTAGAAGCATGATGTGTAATCATAATATTATACCATCCTCAGACTATCTCTCGACAGGAAATGGATGCTCTGATGTGATTCATCCGTGTGATGAAGTGAAAAGGAGATGATCATCCTCCGACATCGTTACGTCAAATGTGACAATAATCCTCCTCTTCTGGCTCAGGTGAGAGAGGACTAGCCTGCACCGTATATTGTAAGGAGATCGTCTCGGACATCACACCGGCACCTGCCAGTAGTTGCAAGCCGAAACTTCAAGTAGATCACAAGTACGATAATTACGCCCAAGTGGTGCCCACTTCACAGCCAGGGCGCATCAGCACTGGATGATGTCCTACGATTCATCCTAGAGATGACCACGTTACCTTCGGGCACTCAATAATCACCACAAACCAAGGGCGTTGGGTAAGCAAATCTCAACGGATACGCGGGTACAGGTTTACCCTCGTTAGAAGGCACCCAAGGGGGTTTCACAATTGTTGTCCTGTCGAGTATTATCTACTATCCGGACTTTCACGTACGCGTTTCAGGCGTCAGGGATTTTGGCTCGTTGTCTACTAATGAGGCTTGTCTTGTATCCGATGTTGTAATAACGAGGGTAAATCTTCAGTTTGGATAAGGTTCATGCCTCCATTCCAGTCCAGAGTCTGGCGGAATTTTATACAAGACGTGAATACGTGACATGCCGAATCTGCATAGCACGCACTCACGTCCTCGAGTTCAGTCCCTTCAGTCATGATGGTCTGTGTTACAGATCATGACTAAAGGGTCCTGAAAACCGGATGTTTATGAAGCATTGCCTTAGCTGGTGAGCAACGAACAACAGCTCTATTTCGTCCGACACACTGGAGACTGTTTATTGAAGTTATAACTTATTAGTATACTGAACGCAAGCAGCGGTAGTTTAGACGAGTGTCGAGGCCAACACAGACCTCTCTATAGTATAAGTCAGTTGTTCGTCTCCGCTGCACTAGTGCCTGGCGGTAGACTGACCATGGCTTCTAGGACGGCTGCAATCAGTGGAGAGCGAATGTCACTGTTATCAGATTCTGCAAACTGTCGCCAATAACGGAACCAGGCGCGACAAGTAATTCCTGCCATCATATCAAGCTTGTCATGCTAGTTGCAGCAGTCATCTATCAGCTACAGGTTCAGCGTCAGTTGCCCACCCACTGTCAATTGACGTACGCCGCAGTGAGATTCCCCGGGTAGATAGGTGAGAGGATTTGTGATGTCTTGACAGGTGAACCACGCGTACAGTGCGGAGTCAAGGATCCTCCGCTATGTACTCGCACTTTCATCATAATAATAATAATGCTGTGGGTTGTGGACTCAACATAGAATGTAGATTTGGAATGTTTTACTACGTATTGTATACTCGATCTCCGGACAGCTACAATGCACAGTGAAACCTGTCTAAGACGATTGCGCAAGGGGTAGGGGGACCTTCTGAACGTGGCCTCTGTTTATCAGGTGGCCTCCTTATCCAGGGTCATTTGACTGGAAATAGCATCCCTTGGTCCTGGGCGCACTGGTCTTTTAGGACAGGTGGTCGCCTCATCCGAGTGGTCGCCTTGACAGGTTTCACTGTAGCTGTTTCGACCTTGTCCAGGTCTGCTCAACAGATCACAATGACATCTAGTGAATGAAATAGCTTTTTTTAATTAGCTCAAAGCATCAAAGTCAGATTGCTCTAACTGGGCGCCGGCATCATGTGAGATTTTAACGTGTTGCATTATTATTAGGGGTGAAACGGTTCAATATTTTTCATGCGGGTACCCTAAATATATTATGCATGCCCCAAGGTGTACTCTCAGCTTCGTTGATGAGACCTATGGTTGTCAAAACAGCTAACTGGTCAACCTTGGCGGATGATACTCGAAACATTGGCAGATTCTGCTCGAAAAAGCAGTGAAATTGGCAGACCCATACAAACCTTAGGGCAGGCACTTACTCCATTTCTTTATCCACACGCCAAACATGCATTAAACATAGCAGAAAAAGACAGTATTTCAGGTGCTAATTTGTTAGCTGACATTATCTGCGAAGGGCTATTGTGCAACTCCCCAAGAGCTGTGCACTCTTGAGTCTTCACCGGAACACAAACGTGTTGTATCACGTCACATTGAAGTCATTTCTTGCAAGTGCATGTGCATGTATACGATTACCGGTAAAGTCTGTGTCATCAAACGGACGGTCTCATAACACATGTGTTCTTGGCACAGTGGTCGCTAGCACAGGTTTTACAATGTCATGTACGTACAGTCAACTCCTGATATAACGAACACCATTGTCATTGCATTGTACTCTTTGTTTACTTTTGCTAGGAAGGCGTTCGGTTTCATTATCGAGCCCCTGACATAATACTATGCAATGGAAGCGGTCGAACTCTCGCCGTCTCTGCACCACCGCGAAAGCTTCAGCAGTACTACCAGCAACAGCAGCAGCAGTGACAACCCCGGAAGACCAGTTGTCCTGCGCCATGCCTTCCAGCGCTTGTCACTCCACGAAGCAGATGTTGCTGCTGTTGATGATGTCACTAGGCGAAGACGGTCACTGTTCGCCATGTTTCAAACCAAGTAAGTTCAAACAGAGGTAGCCATTGGCGGACTATGCTCGGCCAATTATTATTATTGTTATCAAATTTTTGATAGGGCAATCCCCACAGGCCTAAGGCCTTCTTACAGGGTACACTAACCAATCGTCAAATTATGCTTTTGATTATGCCACAATTATGCCAACAAATAATTATGCTGAATTATGCTGAATTATGCTCGGTTCCACTATGTATTCACGCTATACATAGAGGATTGAGAAACCACGCATACACACACGGCCATGCCCTAAACATAATTTTTGTCTAAACCGAAAGATTATGCCGACCTTACACGTTGGAATCCGTATATTATGCCGGAGCATAATTTGTTGACGAAATCCCAAGATTATGCCAAATATTATGCCGGCATAATCCGCCAAGGGCTAAACAGAGGGTATTTTTTATTTATGTTTACAAAGACCACTTTTAAAAATGCCAAAAATGAGATGCAGCTAGGGGAAGCACGCACAACCTGAATCGTGGAAGCGGTGGTGAGGTTTAGGGAGCTCCGCCGACCCAGGGTCTCGACTTCATGGCCATCTAGACGCATCTCTATCTTCATTATTCAATTTTGTCAAAGTAGCAGGTAACTCAACATAACTATCGCCCGCTTGCTAAACGTTTTCTGGAAAGAGCAAACTTGTGAGTAAGCCCAACGGATCCACTGACTGCGGAACGGCATTGATTCCTTGGCATACTCTTGTGGAACGTTTCTTACCACGTTGAAAGCTCCGCCGTGGCCACGTCGGCTTGCACACAACACAACACGCCACATGGTCTCTTAGCCAAATATCCAAGTGTTCGGGCTGGGTCCTTCCTCAGGAGCCATGGTAGCAGCTACCTATTTTACATTCCTGCTGTTGAAGAGATTCATCGAAGGCCAAAAACAAAGGGTGTCCGCGAACAAATCGTAGTCTGAAAACGACCTCAACCAGAAGGTATGGCGAAAGGACCAAGAGCTTGACTATGTACTGGTATTGTATAGCATTGGATGTATATTCTCTAGACCTGTTGAGGCGATCTAATACTCAGAGAAAAGTTGATGTTCAAGACTGCATGTAACTGTGAATGCGACGTTCTGCGCCTTTCTTTTGTCCTGCAGAGGTCAGACGGACGTAGCGCCGTCAAACGTATCCGCATCCACCGTTCAGCGTAGGTCTGCGGCGAGTCTCCAGCGAGGAATACCGGCCACCTCGGCTTCCCAGCACCACCAGTATAGTACAGACGCCGCTGGTACGTCTGTTGCTGTGGGCTCTGACCTAGTATATAAACCCAGGGCAGCCGGTGTGCGTAGAGCTCGCAGTTTCACGTCTACGCGGCAGTATGTTGCCTCAGCACCTGCTGTAGACGCGATAGCTAGAGGCGGCAGCAGCTCCAGAGCGTCGTCCATTCGCAGCGCTCCACCGATGACCCGAGCAGCATCCGCTTTCACGACATCCACAACCACAGCACCAGACGGTGGTCTGAGGAGAAGCAAGAGCTTCCTGAAACGCTTCATGAAGAAACGTGTTACACCAAGTAAGTCCAATAAAAAGAGATAGAAACAGAGAGCATGATCAGTTCAGGTTATATCATACAAAAGAAAAAAGGACCAAGGAACTACAAGTTACGCTATACTGTCCACTTACACTACCAGTTATTAAACAATCAGCTCACGCGATAACATTGCACGACACTGACCGACGGTACTGACGTTCTACAACTAACTGGTTAACAGGTTATATTGCGTTTCATTTGTTTTTGATATTGCGAACACTGCGCCATTGCTTCTGGTGATATTTCCCCCGTGAAAGCTGATTTACTATACAGTCAACTTCGCTTATAACGACACTCGACGGGGCATCAGGAAAGTGTCCTTATTCGCGAAGTGTCGTTTTACCCGAAGTCTCAGTATATGTATTACAGTTGGATGGGACTTTGCTCTGGCCATGAAAATTCTGTCGTTATTCGTGAATTGTCGTTATATCCGCAGTCGTTATTAGCGAAGTTGACTGTAGATAGAAAGAGAGCACATCACCAGATAGAACTCTTCCAATGACAATACTGCCGTCACGCGGGGGGAAAAGGTGGTTATCGTCAGTGATGCACTTTTTGAGAAAACGCACTATAACATACATGTAATCTTTTATGACGTAAAGCATATCTATAATTGCAGGGAAAGATGTGAATGTAGCCCAAACGGTCTCCATCTCTCTCTCTCTCTCTCTCTCTCTCTCTCTCTCTCTCTCTCTCTCTCTCTCTCTCACACACACATACACACCACACACACACATACACACACACACACACACACACACACACACACACACACACACACACACCCCCCCCCCCCCACACACACACACACACATGCACACACACGTGCGCGCACACACACACACACACACACACACACACACACACCAGACACTCATTCACTCACTCACTTACACACTCTATCTATCCTTTTGTTTCTCACTCTCTGCACCATGCAGAACATAACTTGGTCGGCAGTGTAGAGCTGATTCTGCAGCTAAACCCCAGTCACGTCAAGACAGACGGTGATGACAGGATACCGATTGTGATGGATGTCGTCAAGCTGCACAACCTCGATCTCGCCATGGCTGGCCTCGACCAGAAGGATCTGGACGGGAGAGGTAAGAACAAACATGTATGAGGAGTCTAGTCAGTAGACCTTGGCCGCGGATTATGCTCGAAAATTGGCAGATTCCGTTTAATTAAAAACAGTGAAATTGACAAAGCCATATCTTATAGCAGGCAGTTCCTTGAATTCTGCTCCATTTCTTTATTCACGTGCCAAACATGCATAAAACATACCAGAATGAGATTTGAAATAATTATTATTATCAAATTTTTGATAGGGCAATCCCCACAGGCCTAAGGCCTTCTTACAGGGTACCCTAGAAATGAAAGTACTGAATTACGCATTATATTATAAAGTACCAAATCCTGCCATATTTTTTGGCTGCATGAACAGTTTGTCGAGATCTCACTTTTATGTTTAATTTGTGCACTCTCCATGCGTTCAGACCTGTACCTTGAATGCAGCCCAATGTACACCGAGGGCAGCGTACACAGTGCAAAACTGCTGCCCATCGCCTGGCTGAAGTCCGACATGAGACCGGCGGTTCTCAAGGGAGACGTTTCCATAGAAACACAGCTGACACTGGTGCTGAGCAGTCGCCTGTTCCATCAACTCACCACTTGGCAGGTGAGGCACTATGCACTATGCAACTGCAACTGTAGTCCGGGATAAACATTCGTATTCAAAACTCAGAAGGTGAGCCAAGGAAAAAATGTAACACGGAAAAAATGTGGGGACTAGTTATGCAGTCGAGTCCACCAACTAAAGCATTTATGCTGTGGATTGTCTCAGCACTCGCTGTCAGTTATGTGCTAGATTGTATATAGTAACACCTGATGTAAGCGACCTTTGTGTGTAACGACCACCTGCTCATAACGACCGTTTTTCCATGCACGGACAGTTCTACACAGACACTGTGGGACCTGGGTCTAAACACAACCTGGCTTTAACGACCGCTTTTGCTTGCACCGTGAGGTGGTCGCTTAAACCAGGTTTACTGTATGTCTGAGTGTTCGAAATCTGGTTAGTTGGTGGACACGACGGCATAACTTGTGCCCACATTTTTTCAATGTTACAGTAAATATTCGTGCTGAGATAAAAAGTGAGGACCAAAAAGGTTTACAAGTTATCCTTTGTTTGCGTCCAACACTAACAATTATAGGCAAGATGCCGGTGAGTCCAAACCTGCAACAATTAGCACAACATAACAGTGCACAGACTGGCATTAATTTTTAACGACATGATGTTTTGCTGCATTACGTCTACCAGCAGTCTTGCTTGTCCTTATGGTAAGTGTTGGACACAAACAGCTGATAACTTGTAAACTTTTGGTCCTCTCTTTTTATTTTAATCCCTGGCTCCCCAATCGAGTCTAATTCGTGTTAAAGATATCCTATACTAGTATCTAGTAGCTCTGGCCAACCAGTCTGTAGAGCCTGGGCATCTCAGTCCTTGTGCAATCGCTCGACCTGCAGACAATCCTTTTTTGAAAAGTAACACCGCCCTAAAGTATGTGTGCATGAGGGACTGAAAAGGGTTTGAAGAATATATTGAGAGTCACCACCAGGACTTGAACCTGGTCCAGGGACGTACGCTACAGCATAGGCCAGCGATGCTCCAAGCCCGGAGCTGAGCAACACTAGGTCTTGGCGGATAATGCTCGAAAAGTCGGTACATTCTGCTGAATTGAAAGCAGTGTGACTGGCCGAACCATACAAACCTGATGACAGGCACTTCCTTGAATTCTGCTCCGTTTCTTTATCCACAGACCGAACATGCATGAAACATAGCAGAAAAGGTACAACAATTCCACATTTTTCTGCCGGTATTAACCTCCAAGGGCTAAGCATCATCCTGCAGCTACTGTTGTGGACATAGAAATCCGGTCGCACGTCTAGCGGCCCCAGGGCGCTGGCCATGCAGCCGTGGGTAAGCAGTACACACCTACGCGCTGCAGCCCGCTGGTCGCATGGCTGTCTGTGCACTGTTCTGTACGCGCTGAGGCTCAGTGAGGGCGCCGGCCCCGGTCAATCGACTGGATTTCCATGTCCACGACAGTATATTCATGGTACATGTAGCCCGTGTCATCACCAGACTGGTAATGTTCCCTTCTGGCTGTTTCCGGTTTGACCTCATGTTGCTGCGCATGATGTGGCTGCTCCGTGACGTCATTGTGTGCTTCCCACAGGTGCGACTCTGTCTAGCCAAGTCGACAAGGAAAGCGGCTGCCATGACGCCGGACAAGGAAAGCGGTCACGTGATTGCCACTTGCTCTATCGATCTGCTCTACATTCAGCGTGATATAGCTGTACAGGATCGCTATGACCTCTATTATAACAAGGAATAGACGAAAACACACATGCTATTTCACGGAATAGACGAACACACACACACACACGCACGCACACACACACACATACAAATATACACACACGCACACACACACACACACATACATACACACACGCACACGCACACACACGCGCGCACACACACACACACACACACACACACTCTCTCTCTCTCTCTCTCTCTCTCTCTCTCTCTAAACTGGACTCTGATCATAGGCCCGGGAATCGCCTTGTTCCTGGAATTGTCGGACTGCGACTGCACCCGTTCCTCATTGCAAAACACGCTTCCTGCTTTTTTGCTAACATTACCTCAGGCTGTTGAAACAAGAACTTAATTAGAACTTAACAGCGGATGGTGAGCCAATTAAATTATTGTGAAAACATGTTGTCCTTCTTCTTTTCACAATAAATTAGAACTTCGCCATAACTATAATCAGTACGATTATTCTGTAGGCTTGGAAGCAGAACACTACGAAGGTGCCGTAGTTCGCCATCAGCTTTGTGCTATCCCCTCATCACCGTACAAGTATTGTTATTACAAGTACTATAGTAAGAGGTACTGTGGCAGACATCACTAAAACATAAGCTATCAACTTCTCCATCTTCAATTTTTCTTGAGAACATATTTTTCAACATAAACATATGTACCGTTACGACACAAGATGAGACAGCAGTTACTACTAGTGTCCACGAATAACACAATTACATGTACTACCTGTCTAAGACGACCGTTTGAGGGACCTTCAAAACGTGGTCTCTGTTACCAGGTGGTCGCCTTATCCAGGGTCAATTGACTGGATAGATAGCATCCTTTGGTGCTGGTTTCAGTGGTCTTCTAGGACAGGTGGTCGCCTTATCCGAGTGGTCGCATTAACAGGTTTTACTGCACATGTACTACCAGTACCAGTGATTATCTGACTGCAATGCATGACGTTCTCCCAGGACTGCTGCGAGGAGCTGCTGCTTTTCTTGCATGGTAAAGTAGTGGATTACAGATGTCCGATTTTCTATGCCCGTATTGCGGATATTATCATTAAAAAAAACTGTGTTGCATTGCATCCCTCTGTCTCTGATACCTTTCTGTGCAGGCACCAGTGCTTTTGAGTTCTGATGTCCGTCACATTGCTATAACGATAGCATACAAGAATAATAGTGTACTTGAATAGGAGCATGACCCTGCTGAAGATGTTACCCTACTAGAAACACATGCATGTAATTGTTGATGCTGTCTCAGTCTTCTCCCGCTCGATCAAGTAAAATCTCATCCAGGGGCTAAATGACTACACGTATGAGATCGTCCTCCACAGTGATCGCCTCCGCTGTATAAGAACATGACTGTACATGTGTGGACGATCGACAGCATGTTACAAGCCAGGCGGGGGGGGGGGGGTACACTGTGTGAATCGTCCAACATGTTAGCCTATGAACATGTTAACCTACATGTATGTCCTAGGCCTTGACGGATTATGCTAATATTTTCGTGAAATTATGCTTTTCGCATTGCTGAAAAAATTGCAGAAGTATGCTATTTTTTATATGCTAAAAGTTATCATATTATGCCGCATTATGCTCACATATGCTGCTAATGCATAATGGTTCTGTGCAAAATAACAGGGGAATTTATTTGTAGAGGGCGTTGTACTGTAGTAGCAAAAGTTCCACGGGGTCAACGCACCGTCCGACCTAGCTACGACCATCATTGATTGTAGTGGGCTGGACATGTTATCAAGGGAGTCGTAAACCTACAACTTCCTAGTGCATCTACTTGTACTTGTACTTGTAGAACATGTACAACTGTTTGGAATTTGATGCGAACAGGCGGATTATTACAATTTTATGCGATTCGTATGCGATTTGCCTCGAATTATGCGATTATTCGATTTTGGTAGGATTTATGCGAAAAATTATGCTAGCATAATCCGTCAAGGCCTAGTATGTCCAACAGGTTAACTTATCAATCGAGGGTTACATAATACCAAGTACAATGATCACAAAGCAATGACGCAACCAAGTCCTTTCAGCCATACTCAAAGCATAATAATCATGCTGTCTGGTGAGTGTTTCACACGAAACTCCGAGTAACGGCGAAAAGGGACTTAATTGCGCCATTGCAGGGTCTGTCCACTGGATATAGAGCACTGTACGCAGACTGAGGAGCTTAGAGTAAGACAACTGTATAGTACCAAGTACATGACTGTACTGCTGTTGCTCAGCATTCGTCAACCTCCATCTAGACTACAGGGCAGCAAGGCAAAGCCTATTAATATTTTGTTATTGGAACAACATACATGTACATTGTATATGACCTGTGCCACGCATAACGATAACAAGAACATCTACAAATCGTCTGTATGACCCCTGAACGGTGGTATTGCTAGGAATAACACTGTCATTGTGGAGCATGAAGTTGAAGACACCACTGCAGCTGTACTTATGGTTGACAAATATGGTGGTAAAGGCATAGCCGTGGAGCATGTCTAGTAAAAGGTACGCAAGCTCCACTCTAGCCCCTTCATAGTTAACATAGCATGGATCGCCCTACAGTATCAGCACCAACGCAAGCGGTCTCCTGGCCGAACATGTCATTGCGATATTTACGCAATAATAGTACGGAATGGTAGAAAATGACCACTTGCGTTGGTGATTGTGGAACGTGTGTAGCATCTTTCAATGGACCTTTTCACGAAACACACATGATCAGGGAGAAAACGTAGTGCCTTGCATGTACAGGGACTGTACATGCCATTTCGATTACAATTATGTGGGTATGTATTTGTCGTCAACGCCATAATAATAATAATGGCAAAGCTGTGAATGGTCATCAACAAGAAGAAGTATCGAGAATCACCAGACATATTTCAACGCAACAGTCATGATGAATATGCAGTCAATGATTGTGTCAATGATTGGTGTAGGATTTAACAACTGGACAGGAGGATGGAGGATGAGATGATTGGGCAGCAGAGAATAGCCAACACAAGGCACAACAAATCATTGTGGTCATAAGAAGTTCTTTTCAAGCTTTAAAGAGTATTGAATTCTCAAGTGATCGTAAGAATTTCTGTTCCAAATCCGAGTTACAACGATGTGATCATTGTTCCATCTAACAGTACTTCGTAGGGCAGTGTGACGGCAATCGGTACATAGCCTTTGGATCCGGTCCTGGGCGCATGCACTTGCACACGTCCGTTACTGCAGCGGCCCACGAACGCGTACAGCACGTCGCCCGTACACACGGACAGTTCGTCGGAGCGCTGTGCACCGTAGTCGAACATCACCAGCAATCGAGCAGCGCGCATGGGCCGACGCTCCACGGGACTCGACGGAGAATTGGCCTCCGACGAAGAGGCGGACTCCGTCCTGTCGGCAGCTTCCACGGCCGCATTGAGCTCATTCTCTTCCCGATCTAGGAAACTCTGCAGTGGCACGAGAATAGGGTCCAGGGACGTTGTGCCATTGCGCGGGCGCAATGATCGCACCAGTGCATCCATTGTCAGGTCCCCTTCGCTCTTGCTCGCCAGGAGCTGCGGCGGAATAGACTTCTGCTCTGTGACGGCGAGATTGCTGTTCTTCACAGCGTCGCCCACAGAATACCACTCGTCCCAGCTTTGCCTGTTCGTCAGCTGCTGCTCTCGCTGCTGCTGTGCGTGGGGTGAGTTGACTTGTGGGTCTTTCCCGTCCCTGCCTGACCTTAGAGATGATCTGCTAAGAGTACTACTGATGCTAGCCACATCAAGGTCCAGGTAATTAGCGCGGCCGAGTAGGGTTTCCTCAGCACCCTCTACAGGCTCTGCGGGCGAGGATAGTGCCTTGTCGCTGCTGCTGTTTCCGCTTCCAGGTTCGGCGGTCACTGCTGCATTAGCTCGAGGTGTTTTGTAGCGTATGCTAGATCGTAGATGCGAGGCGTTCCTCACCAGGGTGGACAGACGCTGGCGGACTGTGGACTTGACGGCAACAGAGCGCGAGAATGGACTAGACTGCTGCTGCTGCTGGTGCTGCTCATCACCCGGATGCGTGGAAGGTGACGTTTCTTGACCACCTTCAGCAAAGCTATGTCTGACGCTTTCTCTATGGGGAGTCTTCACAGCTGCGGTAGATGACCTTGGCGTTGTTCGTATTTCAGGGGATCTCACGGCGATGCGATGAGACAAGCCTTCCTGGCCTCTGCCTCTGGTTCGTTTCACTTTCACTTTATGATCGTCTGAGGTTTGGAGTGCCTGCTGGGTGCTGGCGACGCTCAGATTTCTCGCGTTGGTGTTACGGCTGCGCGGAGGTGTTGCATATTGGTATGCGGAGCTGGTATTGGTATTCCTACCCGTGCTGGTGCTGTGGCTGCAGGCTGGTTTTGCTTCTGTCCCTATGCAGGCAGCGCTCGGCTGCTGAAGTGCACGCCGATATGTAGTGCTGGCCGGCGTGTGTCGCTGAGCTGTCACACTGCTGCATTCCTGAGGAGCGGTGTGCATGCGGCCGATCGACCGTGATGGCTCATTATCTCGTCCAGCTGCAGCAGTCTCTGAACCACTGGTACACGATGCAGCGACCACAGTAGTAGTAGTAGTACCACTGTCAGCGGTTTGATGGCTTCGCCCAGCACTGGTGGCGGTCGTTGTTGATTCTGATTCGCCTGGATGGTGTGTCCGCGCCAGGCCAGTAGCGTTAGCAGATGAAATAATTTCCACGCGTGGTGTTGTCAGCGCGTTCTCTTTTCCGCCGTCGAGCAATGGCGATGTGGGTTGTTTGAGTTGTTTGCGAGTCGACGGCGCGAGTAGATCTTCTTCTGAGACGGCAGCCGATGCTGATGCTAATCCAGCGGCCATGGCTCGTTCAAGGGACGAGCTTCTACCTGCGCTGCTGCTGCCACTGCTACTTGCAGGCGACGAGTAGCCACTCTCAGATGAAGGCCGGTGCACTTCGAGGCCGGTACTAACGGCGGTGGTGGACGACTCTTCGTCCAACAGTACTACATCGCTGAAGAATGCCTGAGCGCGGTCGTTGTGTACGACGTGTTGATCATCTTGCAGGGTGCTGGGACCAGTGGGCTGGCGCGGCGGCGGCGGCGCACTGCAGCTCGTTGAGTAACATTCCTGATCATGATCTGATCGCCATTGTGTGCGCACGGCGTGGAGAATTGGGGCTCGTTCATCACGGCCGATGCGCTCAAGTTCAGGCCCGCTTATAGCGCCTCCGGTCGTTCCGCGCTGCGCTGGTACGCTGTACGCTGCTGGAATGCCATTGTGGAACGCTGTATTTTCACAATTGTTTGATGACGGCCGATCATTAGCCCGCTCACAGGCTCTAAACCTTGTTTGTGCAGATTGTTGGCTGTGAGCAGCAGCAGTCCCGTCATGGAGGGAGCGTGCCAAGGCGGAGCAACATTCCGCGGTGGATACAACGCAGCATGGCTGATCACTGGATCCAGGACAGTTACATACCATACCATTACTGGCAACAGGAAAACACTGGTTGGCGCAGGAAGAGGAGAACTGTAAATGCCTGCTCATCTCAACCACTGGTCGACTACCATCGGAAGAGCTGCGACTGATGAGATGAGGGGTGGCAAACGACATCACATTTCCGCGCGCATATGTCCTAGCCGCATCAAACACGTGACCGTTGTGGTTTGTAGGTGAACAAGGCTGCAGGTGGAAGCTAGAAGGATGCGCATTGGAGCAGGAGATGCTGCCTGCGCTGTGGGTGATAGAGATGGGAAGACATTCTCGTGCATCTTCCCCTGTGCTCCTCGCTGGCGTTTTGAAGAAGTTGGGGTTTGTCTTGGCACTGCTCGGGTTAGTTATGAAGGAGGTACTGTTAGCCCCATTACCGCGTCTATGAACATCAGGATGATGTCGTAGATGATGCTCTTTTTGTTGTCTTGCATTCTGCAGGGCTGCATGATGTTGGTAGCCAGTTTGTTCGTGCTGCGATGAAGTGACAACACGATTAGTATCGGAGTGGGCTCTCCGGAGCACTGGCCTTGTTGCCACTGCAGCTACTGCCTGCGAAGCTCCTATTTGAAATGGCGGCATTGGTCCCAGACAGGCAGCAGCAGGGTCTAGTAGTGCACTGCTGCGACGTAGGGGCATGGCCCCACTGGATGACAGCACGGCAGGCAATGACAGTCGATCGAAGGACCAGTTTCGGGGCAGACCGCTGACCACTGCGGATTCAGTGCTGGCGCTGGCGCTGACTGGTAAGTGTGTTGATGACGATTGGCCGGACGTCACCTCCAGTAGCTTTTCTGGGCTCTCGTCAGATTCAGACGATGCAGGCCTTGTATGGGCGTTCCCATCGGACATGGACTGATCGTCCACAAATTGGCAGTAGCACGTCGGTAGGAAGCCGCGCCGGCCCGCGCCGTTCTCCAGTAGCGACCACCGTCCGTCGGCCATGATGTGACGCATGACGTCACCGCGCCGCGCCGCCAGCTCCTTGGCGGAGTTGCAGTAGGGCGCGTAGTCCTGCAGCACCACGACCGTTGCGCAATCCTGCTGGGTCTTGCCGTCGTCACGTGATCGTCTGCTCTTCAGCTGATCCAGTGCGGATGGGTCGAGTTGCGAGCGATGCTGTATACTGAAGACTGACGAATCCTTTCCTCCTGTGTGGAGCTCCGTCATAACCTCTCCAAGAAGACCCACAGATACTTGACGCATATCACGTGTAATCGACGTGTCGCCCGTGGCTGCACTGTATATGCGCTCCGGACTGGAGAAGTTCTCCTCGTGGCGGACTCCAGTCCGTTGGATAATATCTTTCAATCCTGCGGTGCTAGAATAGCTGGCGGCTGGGGTGTCAGATACTGGGCATAGAGAGTGAACTGGTTCTGTTGCGCGCAGTGCAGTGTGTCCGGAGACCTCTGCGCTCTTGTGGTGTGTTTCAAGGTCCCCTCTGTTACGCGTGTCCTTTTCCATCTCCGCACTACATACTCTGTCAATAACGTTCTGCAAGGACGCTGATGTAAAACTGGGCGCGTGCACTTGATCTCGCCTTGGCGTGAATACGGGAACATTCTCTGTGCCACGCTGTCGTCGTGTAGGTGAGTCCTGTGCGGATTGGAGCGTTGTCTGGGATTTACTCTGCGAGGCGTTTGTCCTTCGACGCCGCAGCTCTCCTGACGCCCATGCGTTTAACTTCTCCGTGGAGCGCTTTCTGCGGCCATCTCGCTGTTTTCGGCGGAACGGCGTTGGGGGATTGGGTGATTCCCCAGCGTCCGCTGGCTGCTGCGTTCCCGATCTGATGTCAGAGGTAGAGCTTCTGGTAGTGTGATGGTCTGCGGGCAAATACACTTCATCGTTATCATCGCTGTCTAGATATCCCTCGTATGAACAAACAGTTTCCACTGAGGCGAAGTTACCGCGTGTACGCAGACCACCAACACCAGCTCCTTCCATGCCTACCTCTCTGTACGTGTTGGTTCGTATAACCTCTGCCACAGACGTGGACGGCGCAGACTGATCTGGCTTGGAAAGCGTGGGAACGGACGTGGAACGTCGTCTGGACAGCACTTGAAACTTGGTTGCGTTCGATTGGTGGCGTGCGCCACTGCCCTGCCGAACCACCAACACATCATCATCCACCGTCTTGGACAGCACCACGTTGTAATCCAGGGCATGTGTGCACTCCTCGTCCTCGTTGATGGCTTGATGCGACTTCGAGCGCTTCTTCAATCCATTGGCCTTTTGCCGTATTGTTTTCAAGTACTTCGCCATTACGTCGTGCTACGTTCTAGCACTGGGGGACCTTCTGCAACTCTATATTACTACGGGGAGAGTCTATGCAAGACTGTATTCCAAGGTCTGTCTGATCCAGGGCGTAACTCAGTTTTATAACTAAAGGACGACACGGTGGTAGGACGTTGAAAGCTGATAGACAGCACGATACGATGCGGCCACCGTCCTGTTATCCACCTGCACTACCTGCAGCGATCAATCAGCTCGCAAGCGACTTGCACTACTATCCAATCCGTTCTGCAGCACTCCAATTAAGGAGATTGGCACCAATGATGCTGGCTGATCTGTACCAGGGATCATCAGCGAACAAATCTCTGCGCATCCGTTAATACTAAACAAGTCGAGGAAGGAGACCTTCCATCTTCTCCCATTTCTGTACCGTTCTGTACGTCCTCTGTACGTCTTTCAGCAGTCAATACTGAGGCGGTCTGAGCGGGGTCACTGGGCATAACCTGAAGGAAAAGCCTTGGCAGCATCTGAGCGAGGTATCGAATAAACACACAGTGCACACGATCGGGGTGCCGATTCGGCTTGCAAGGTCATACCGTGTGGAAAGCAGCGGCCTAATCTGGGGGGTTATTTCACCCGCGAGCTCCCATGCGACCTCCAGTGTACACGTGATAAGAACTGAAGCTAGCGGTGAACATCATCCTCACACTATATTCGATACAATCACTACCCAAACTAGCCATACACCTGGTGTACACCTATGCAATACACACACACACACACACACAGACAGCAATTTCACGCACTCCGTCTGGCACCACGGTGCAATGCGAAAACTGTGGGCCAGCTGACGTGTTGGAGTGCTCGCAGTCGGCGCGAGGACTTGCGGGTGTCAGGCTGCTAGAGGGTTGACTAACGCGAGCAGATACGGTATAACCATGACTAAACGCAACCTAGTCGCATTAGCGATCATAGATGATACTCTTGACTCTCAGGACTTTGTTGGAACCCTTAGTGAGATGGTGCGGGAAGTCAAACGCTACTCGAAGTGATGGCGACAGATACACTACACTGGCAATGCACAGGCTCTTCGTACCACTAAAATACTTTTTCCATCAATGATCACTGTGCACATAGGAAGACTAGCGAGTCTAGAGGTTCAAGCGTGGCGTAGACAGCGGTAGATCGGTCAGCTTGAGGTGCTGCCCGTGACCGTCGATGCGAGCAGAGTGCCCGTTGCTCGGTCCTGTCCTCGCTTCACTTGGCCGCGTGACGTGAACATCAAACGTAAAAGAAAACACATACACAAACACACACACACGAACACACAAACAGAATCGCACATTTGTAGACGCACACGTCCGTATGTACATGTACATGATTGTACAAAAGGCACAAAGGTTTTTTTTAAAGGGTTTGTCGCAACTCCGCTAAAATGCAATCGTCAGGCGACGTCTTGAGTAGGCATAATGCGGATAATGCCGGCAGAAAAATTGGCAGAATTCGGTACTTTTTCTGCTAAGTTTCATCCATGTTTAGTATGTGGATAAAGAAATGGAGCAGAATTCGAGGAATTGCCTGCCATAAGGTTTGTATGGTTCTGCCAATTTCACTGCTTTTCGAGCAGAATCTGCCACCTTTTCGAGCATTACCCGCCAATGCCTAGTGTTGAGCCCTCTCAGGGAGCCTCTTGGTGGACGCACACATAATTATACATGTACGTACACGCATGTGCTTTAGACTTCGAAGCCTATAAAATTAATATTCATGACATTAGACTTTTTAGGGTGCTAATACGCGGGCTTCGCAATCGTAGAACATAGTGTACACAATGCATGACAATAATTGTGTTGTCCGCACAAGCTACATGTACATTGTACATTCGTGTATTGCATGAAGTAAGACGTGGAGTACATGAACCTCAAGTACATACACATGTACACAGTGCTGCTCAGTGAAATCCGACACGTGTGTGTGTGTGTGTGTGTGTGTGTGTGTGTGTGTGTGTGTGTGTGTGTGTGTGTGTGTGTGTTGCGCCTTGCACCATTTCGCAGCCCAGTGTTCGCAGGCCTGGGGCTGCGCAACGCCCGGCGCGTACCTGAGTGACTCTATCGGATTTCACTGAACAGTAGTGTACATGTACATGACGTGTGTATAACTACAGTGCAGGCAACTGAAATCCGACCCCCCCCCCCTAGCGGTGCGCTAGCCGCGTTAGCGATTCGTACAAGACGCTAGGGGGGTCGGATTTCAGTTGCCAGCACTGTATAAGACCTACCCTATCCTTACACGTAACGTTATAGACTCCATCAGGACCATCATCCTGTTACTACCATTGTTCCCTAGCCGGCCATCAGCGATAGTTGGAACCGCAGCTTGTGCACACATGGATTTGCACGCGGGCATTACCGCTCTCTCGTACACACGACAGGTTACAAATCGCTTAGCGCAGATACGTGTAGGTCATCGCCAAGGTTGGCGGTCGAGCAATCGTTTTCTCCTACTCACAGAGCAGCATACACTGCATTATGTTAGTGTTGCCACGAACACACACACACACACACACACACACACACACGCACACACACACACACACACACACACACACACACACACACACAAAGGCGCGATTTCAGCGCTTCGTGTTTATACCCCTCCCAGATTGCCGTGCCGAATTGGGTACATTACACTGCTCGAGTTGCATCGCCGTATTCTTCTGCCGCTTCTTGCGCTTGGCGGCGCTCCGTGCATGAACCCTAGAGCAGTGGAAGTAGTGGAAATGCTACAGCTTGCCGACCTCGGGTGTTTCCCCCGCTGTCAGGGTGAAAATCACACGACGGCAGATCCTGCCTCACGCTACATGAATACGCTCTGCACGAACGTGGACGACATCGTACAAACCAATAGCATCGTCTGCAATAGGTTACCTAAGCTCGGCACCTGGCTTAGGTCTATCAGCTTCATCGCCGATTTCAATCGCCATCTCAACCGGTAAAGTGAACTTATAGCAACGTTTCTCAAAATAGACCTTCGATGTTATTTTTTTGAATAATAATTCCTCTCCGTGTAAGCTCCCATAATCTTTACCCTGTGTACATGTATGGTGCTCACGCCAGCGCTAACCGCGAGACTAGTGGTCGGAGTTGTTGGCGTGCCTCACCAGCACAAGCTTCAACCTGGATCCCTATCTCATCGCTGTTTTGTTGTTGTTTCTGTCTCCCATCCTTTCAACTTCTTCTCTCTTTTTTGATCTTGAGTAGATGGTTGCTTCTTCAGTATAATTATCGTTTCAATGTAGCTGTAGGATCTTTGATCCTAGAGGGTGGTGGCGTTCCCACGGCGGATGCGGAAAACTCGGCTTCCAGCCGAGTCTCACGCGAACCGTGAAATTTATTTTTTTTATTTTTTATGTAGCTGTAGCTGCAGTGTGACTGATGTTGTTCAGTGTTGACATCAGCCCGGTTTATAACAATGAAGCTGCGTGAAGAGGCATTCAGAATTTTGAGGAAGGATGCCGATTCCAGAAGACACTGAGAGTAGCGAGTACGCGTTCGATTCGACCGTTTTCGGATGTGGTTACACTGTAGAATGAATGCCTAGCCTGGTTGGGTCAGTGCCAGTAGATCTACTCAGCATCCGTTATCGTAACAACGTTGAGGTCATATACGATGTTCAGTTGATCACTCGAGTTCCGTGTTGTGACGGCCGAAGCAGAAGGTCCATCAACTAAGGACACTTCTAGCGGCGGTCCGGGTGTGGTGTAAAAATAGATAGAGTGCCCCGCATGTACATGTAGAACACCTGGGCTGTCATTTGAAAATTTAAAAGTGCTTGTTTTGTACCATTCTGCGTGGATGTCGTCTGTCGGGCTACCTTATGTTTACATACCGCAGGTGTTGCACACGGAAGTGAAGTTCAGAGGGATAATAGGCATTGTAATCATATTGAACATGACTGCATGGCACAAGGAACATCATCACTGCATGAAAACGAACATAATCACTGCGTGAAAACGTCTGACACGGTGTACGTCCGTATGGCATCAATGCCAAGTCTTTAACAGGCACGTCAGGCGAATAATACTAGTACCATAATAGGTGAAGGCCCCTTAAGTTTAACGAGATTACGCGCACGCCACCAGAACGGCAGATCTGCAAACTACACTGGGACTCGAGATTGCACCGTTTGAGATCAAAATGAGATCAACGGCAGACATGTACTGGACGTGTGGATGCTTGGTGACGATTAAGTCCATGTCAAGCCCCAGACGCACAATCATCAGCACCACTGAAATCACAATGATCCCAAACGAGAAACTCGCCCCAACGTGAAAACGATTAAAACGTACTTGTACATAATTGTACATGTACACGTGTAGACATGAATGGCAGATCACACCTGCATGAATAGGGCCAGGGCTAGGGCGTCTTGGCACTGTGGCGTTTATAAAGGGAACGGTTTGCCCAAGCACACGTGCGACCACTGCATTCACACTCGTACATGTACAATGTACAGTGAAACCTGTCTGTGTGCAGACGACCGTTCAAGGGACCTTCAAAGTGTGGTCTCCGCTACCAGGTGATCTCCTTATCCAGGGTCATTTGACTGAAAATAGCATCCCTTTGGTCCTGGTTGCAGCGGTCTTCTAGGACAGGTGGTCGCCTTATCCGAGTGGTCGCCTTGACAGGTTTTACTGTGCATGTGCATGTGCATGTAATTATTATTGTTTTGGGTGAGTTTTAATTGCATTTGACTTTGTAATAATCTGTATTAAAGGATCTCCCAGAGGCGATGGCCTAGGCCTTGGCGGATAATGCTCGAAAAGGTGGCAGATTCTGCTTTTTTTGCACCGAAATTGGCAGAACCATACAAACCTTATGGCGGGCAATTCCTCGAATTCTGCTCCATTTCTTTATCCACATACCAAACATGCATGAAACTTACCAGAAAAAGTACCGAATTCTGCCAATTTTTCTGCCGGCATTATCCGCCAAGGCCTACGATGGCCTGTCGAGGGGATCTCCTGATGC